AAAGTTGAAGTTTGAATATAAATGTTGTCAAGTAAATGAGAATTTTAAAATATTTATACAATTACAATTTCAAAACTTTTTTTTGAAGTACAAAATATTTTCTATTGATTATGTCCTTGTACATTATTTGCTAAATTAAATATTTTTGCCGCTAGATTGTGCCAAAAAAATGCATATATTTTTCAGTTTCTCGCATTTTTGATAAAAACTACGCACTTTGGTAGCGGAAAGTAAAAGTCGTTTTTACAATAAATTTAATTTTAGTCAAATCTGTCCGCTTGGTTAGAAAATATGTAGATGCAACATTATAGATTGTGAAATTTCAATAAATAGATTCATTTTCTTTGTTTACGAACAATACGAAAAATTGAACAGCAACTTTCTAACATGCGCTGGAAAATCTGTTTCAAAGATTTAATAGGAAATTGTCCGCTCTACAGCTTTGTGTTTATGAAATTTTCCATCATAGTGCGTGGTTTTCATGTAAAATGAGAAAAACCGCAAAATATCATTTATTTTATTTTGTGCACTCTAGTGACAAAAATATGAAGTTTAGCAAAAAAATATATAGAGAGATGATCGATAGAAATTAATTTATTATTGAAAACAAAATCCGGTAAATTTTTTTATAAAAACACCTCATTTTTGAGTAAAACAGATTAATAGCTAATATTCAAAATAAACTAATAGCTGTACACAAATTTTAGAAGTGAAAAAACCCTTTCGTAAGACACTGTTTATTATTATCTTCATGCCAAAATTTGCATTTTATGAACCTTACAAAACAATTTTATCCTCATATACAACCATAATCAATTTAAGTGAATTATTTAAAAATTTACAACAAAGCGTTAAAAATAAAAACAAAATAATAGTATATTATTTAACGAGCGGGTAATTATGGCTGCGACTCACGAGGATGAAATTTGCACTACGAGTGGCAGGCGAGTAGTGTAATCATCCGAGTGATTAATAGCCATTACCCGCGAGTAGAATACTATACTTTTTCTATGACTACTTAACAATGGACCATTCTGACATCTGGAGTGACAAAGTGAAAGTGAAGTCAACGGTTGACGTCTGTTGCCAAACAGTAGTTCAATTACTGTGCATATTTATAAAAAATCCTGAAACATGACAATTTTAGATTATAAAATGACATCTTAAAACGTGGAATTTTACATTCCTTCAACCACCTGCGAGTGACAGTATGGACTTGTTATATCTCATTCAAAAGGTCTCTCAAAAATGCTGTAGTTTTCACTTATTGATAATGTAAAAAATAACAAAAAAATCAATTTTAATCAATATTTAAGGCGGAACCGACGAAATCGTAAACGTTATTCTTCCTCTTAAATCAGCTAAATCGGGTGGTTTAGTTTTATATAACATATTTTTTTTTACATATCCTAGATATAAAGGTCTTATGGCATAAAAACAGGTGATCGTGCTGGCCTCACTATCGTACTCGCCTCCCTATCCACCGATTTGAAAATATTAGGCCGAGGTATGGCCAGTCATTGTTTTGGTAATGTGGTGGTGCTAGATCCTGCTGGAACCATATCACATTTGCTGTAGCTTTGCTTGAGCAGGATATAAATTTGACAAAGTTGATACGACATTATTTTGAAGCGGTGTTATATAATTATCTCCATTGAAATTGTTATCATGCCATCAAAAAAAAAGGTACCAATCACATGGTTTCCAACTATCCCTATCCACCTATCTAACTATCTCTGTCCAAACGTTAACCTTTTCAGGTTATTTTATTTTGACGTCTAGTATGGGCGTGAAGTTGAAAAATGCAGAAAACACATCTTCTGGTTGTATAATACAGAGTTATTGCAATTCACTTAAGGTCAATTACTATTAGTGCCGCTCTTATTTTGACATCTGAGCATGCGCAAATCACTTAAATTCTATAACTGACTTTAATAAAGATTGTGCCTGTACTTAATTATGGATGTTTAAGGACAGCAGTTCATCAACACGTGTAGAAACGTAATAAGTGATTTGTGAATTTAAATTTTTGATGACAGCAGTTAGTGGCGACTTTATAGTTTTCAGGTGCGCTCGCCAACATTCGAATCAGTTCGAAGTTTATAAATTTTAAATATTTAATATCATCGTCATCTAAACCTTCTAAAATGGTAATTTCTAATGCCTCTTCCATATTATGTACTATTATAAACAACAAAAAAGATGAAATGTAATTTAAAATTTTTAAAATGAGATTAGAAATGTGTATAAGGACATCAAAATTTTAGGTTTGCAGTAAGTTTTATTTTAGCATGGAATTTATTTGCCTCTAATTACTCTGCCACTATTAGTGGCTGACGTTATAGAAATTTGCAAGATCTCTCTAATATTGTTATCAAACACTTCCATCATTTGCTCACAAAAATACTTTCTTCTATCAAAATCGTCTTCCATGAGCTCCTTAGTTGGTATCAATTTATAGGGATGGATTCTATTTTCTTTAAATATTCGAGTGTTCGATGTATGGCTAACACCATCTAATATTGCTTGTCGACTGAAAGTATGTGGATTCTCCTCAAATTCAAGCATTCTAGGTAGGGATGCCGCGCGACGAGACGAGAGAACAGTTTTCTCTCGCCCTACGAGAAGAAACCAGGGAGGCTATTACCCGCTCGTTGAATAATATACTATTCTTTTGTTTTTATTTTTATCGCTTTGTTGTAAATTTTTAAATAGTTCACTTAAGTTGATTATAGTTGGGTATGAGTATAATTTTTTTTTAAGGTTTATAAAATGCCCATTTTGGTATGAAGATAATAATAAACAGTATCTTACAAAAGGGGTTTTAAGGCTGTTGTTTATATTTTTACATTTATTATTTAAAATTTGTATACCACTTTAGTTTATTTCAAATATTAGCTATTCATCCACCGGAATCTATTTTACTCTTTTACTCAAAAATAAGGCGTTTTTATAAAAAAAATTACTGGACTTGTTTTCAATAACAAATGATTTTCTATCAATTATGTCTCTATACATTTTTTGGCAAATTTTATATTTTTGCCGCTAGAGCGCGAAAAATTAAATAAATGATATTTTGTGGTTTTTCCCATTTTACATGAAAACCACGCATTTCAATGGAAAATTTAATAAAAACAAAGCTGTAGGGCGGACAAGTTTTCATTACATGTTATAAAGTTGGTGTTTAATTTTTCATATTGTTCGTAAACAAAGAAAATGAATATATTTAGTTAAACTCCACAATCTATAATGTTGCATCTACATTTTTTTTTTAGCCAAGCGGACACCTTTGACAAAAATTAAATTTATTGAAAAAATGACTTTCACTTTCCAGGCAAGCGCTGTAGCGGCGGAAACAATGGGTTTCTGAAAAATATGTTTCATAGGCTCGATAGTAAACGCACTGCATATAACAAATTTATGATGAAAACTCCATCCACAAATTACATATTTCTATCTGTATATGTAACGTGTTGAGATGGGATTACTCTACGGTACTGAGGCCTCACTAGGACCATGGTAAATCCTCCTAAGATGATAGCTCGTGAGCCAGCGTACAGATTTAATGTAGTTGACAATGTCGCCAAGAGGTGCTTCTTTTATATCGGCCGGTGTTAGCCGATACTCGCCGAATACAAATCTTCTAATAAATGAGAGCGTCAAACAATCGTAAAGGATATGCTCGATGGCCTCATCTTCTTATTCTCACCCTCTGCAAAGTGCGGACTCTGACAGCCTCATGATATGAAGATGCTGCTGTACTTGACAATGACCAATCAGAATGTCTGTGAGTGAGCGCATATTATGTCTAGTCATAGTCAAGTATTTGTTTGCTGTAGTGTTGTCAGAATAACTTAAAAGCTACCTGACCACTCTGCAGTTTCTTGTTTCATCCCATCTCTCCTTAAATGCTGCGTACATTTGTAGAGCACAAGAAATAGACACTAATGAAGCAGTAGGAGCATATCGAATTTGTTTTAGTTTGTGGATAGCTGTCAATTTTTGTGTTTTTGGTACCCATACAACTGCACCGAACGTTGGCATGGATCTTGTGATGGTTATTAGGTCCATTCGACGACTCTGGGGGAGAAACTCAAGGTGCGCCCCACGGTTCGGCGGTATTGTTCATAAGCAATGTATGCTCTTTTGACTATGTTTATATTAATACTCTCCCTAATTCACTCCCTTACGAGTAAATTTTAACCCCGGGGAAAGGGACGGCTATTATTATTATTTGCCGTGGTGATCCGGGTCGACTTAAAGATGATTGATGGTGCCATTTGACTTACAGGTGAAGAAAACCCGGAAAACCCCACCCACCATCATCGAAAACGGTAACGCATGGTGATTTTTAATAATCTGTATGTCATATCAACAGAAATTAAATTTCTAAATGTGAGTTCCATGTTAACTTACTGTCAAAAGTGAGATCTAGGCACTTTACCTCTATTGCAAAGTATAGATTGTGTTTAGAAGTTCTGGAGGTTTTAATTCCATTTTCATTATTTTCCTTGTGAAAAGAACCATTTCTGTCTACACACGTATTGTAACGATTATCCAATTTAAAAATAGTTTATTTATTAAAAACATTTTATTTAAAATTTATTTATAACGTACCAATTAATTTATATAATACTTAGGCACTATTATAACTCACAATTCTAATTTATTTATTACAATTTGTCTTCACTTATCCAACACTTTTATTGAAACTTCCGAAAAACTCGCGCTATTTATTTAGACCTAGAATGTCTGGGAATTCTTTCTATGAGAGTCATCCAACGGATAACAATATCTCTAGCAATTTATCGAAACAGTGCGGATCTCGATATGGCCAGCGCTAGACTTCATATCGCGGATAAGGTAGTAAACAAAGAACAAAGTCATCTTCGCATGACAATATCTATTAAATAAACATATCGATCAACTTGGTCTTTCATCAGGCTTGTAATGTCAATAAAATTGGTTGGGAATACTTATTTTATTTCCCTCGACCTATTAAACATCTTCATTTAGATCTTTAGTTCAATTATAGATATTCACATTTTTTTAACATGAAAATTAAATAGTTCATTACTTATATGCACATATATTTAATCTTTTGCACGCCTATGATCGAACTGAAGACACTTAATAAGCCTTAATTGAGACCAGTTTTACAAGAACCTACATAAAAATATATTGATAATGTTGTGACACTGTTTACTTCATTTAAGTCAATGAAAGAGTCCAGAAACGATATTAATATATTACCATTTGAACTATTTTTAAATATTATGTTACTAATAATGCTTTTGTCGGTTTTTCTAATAGTGAGAGCAGGAAGTGAAGATAAACCATTTACGTCTCCAGTATTGCCAGTAAACCAAAGAAATTCACATTTGAAATTTGGCGGACACGAGTATTATTTTGGAACATCTACAAAGGTAATAAATGATATTTAATTATTGTGAATAGTTATAAATAATTGTTATTTTAGGTGAACTTTTTTCAAGCTTATCGGTTATGTAAACTTGATGGGATGAGTTTAGTATACATCGATTCTGAAGCAGAAGGTGAAAGATTAGGCATTTTTGCTACCCAGATAGGTAAGTTGAAGTAATTATCATCACAAAAATTACTGAAAAAATTATTAAATCTTTATTTTCCAAATTTTCTTTGGCCTTTCATATCTCGGCCACTATTTAGAAAGTACAGGAGACTTCCATTAGCCTGTATTGCAATTATGATAATGCATTATTTGTTGTTTGTTTTCTCTACCTAGTAATCGGTTATATTATTCTTAGTAGAAACATTAATAATTAATGTTAACACTGATAACAAAAAAAAATTATTTTTCGACGATTTTCAATAGAAAACTAGAATGGAAATCAGTGGCGGCTGGTGGTAATTTAAAATGGGTGTTCACTTTTTCCAATAATTTTATCATTTGTAAGTTCGGTTCAAAACCTTGTACAACTGTGGTTATTATTATTAATATCATTGTGTTTTCAAGCACTACAACTATTAATAAATGAATATTTTAGTTAGTGTAATATTTGTTTTGTTTTTAATACGTTGAAAACCATCTATAAACATTATTAGTTAGTCAACTGGCTTTTCTTCATATTTTGAGATTATTTTTAAATGTATAAAGCTTGACATTAATTTTTGCGTTAAACATATTATTACATGAAACTTTTTCAGTTTTTTTTTGTAAATTTAATCATTTTTACTATTATGTTAAATAAAATAATATATTTTTTAAATACCATTTATTAGCAAAAAACAAGTGAACTAAAATGTGTATTTTATAGGATGAGTCCCATCACAATACATAGATACACAGATACAAACTAGAATGAAAATATATAATGCGTGGCATTCTAAGTTATAATGTTCACACTTAAACAGACCCTCTTAACCCCCATTTGCAATCAGATTATTTTCAGAATCAATAGGCTTCATCCCCTTGTAGAGCTTGATTTTCCAAAAATGTCAAGTTGATATTATTGTTTGTTTTTGAGTTAGATTTATTTTGAATATTTCAACCCACCTAAACCCCCTACTTTTATTCAATTTTTTTTTTCACAATTAATAGGCCTCATCTCCTTATAGAGCTTGATTTCTACTAAAAATTTCATGTTGATATCGCTTTTAATTTTTATTTATAATTCTTTTTTAATTTTAACCCCCCTTAAACCCCGTTTTTAATCATTTTTTTTTTAAGTAAAGGGCTCTTTCTTCTTATAGAGATTGATGTTTGCTAAAAATTTCAAGTTAATATCATTTTTCGTTTTTTTATATTTTAACCCTTCCTAACTCCCCTATTTATTCAGATTTATTTTTTTTCAAAATCAATAGGCTTTATCTCTTCTTATAGAGTTTTATTTTTACTAAAAATTTCATGTTTATATCGCTTCTACTATGTGAAGAGTAGAATAATAATATATTCAAAGCCTAAACAATAACATAATAGCAAAACAAATAGGTACACTAAAAGAATGATAAAGTCAAAGAGTTGAAAATTATTTAAAAGGTATATCAGTACTTCGGAGATAAACTGTGCTATCATTCTAGCCAGTTTTTTAGTAGAGCAGACTGAATGTTGGTTGAACACTTTTCGTGTTCCATATTTACAAATATATTAATTAGGTATTCCAAACAAATGAATTGCCAGTGGGAAGGTTTGGTATATCTAAGGGTGGCGACATACGGTGTATTCTATCCACTTTAGGTAAAATCATGAATAATGGATTACATTTAAATATTTTATGTCAAACACAATAAAAATAATATTTAAAAAAGTCACCATTACATTTCTTCATAAATTGGCAGGTTTGGCCACTACTACTTCGAATAAAAATAGCGTCCAAGTTGCAAGACTATGTCGCTACCCCCCTTAGATATACAAGAATTTCCCACTGGCATATATTGTTTGACAGGTCGTTGGAATGCCTAATTATATTTTGACAAGAAATTCAGTTGGCGGGCCCTTTTTCCACCTATATCATAAGATCACGCTACGCTCGTTCCACCTACCAACCTCTACTTGTCAACTACGCATTTCCTCACCACAAGATTTGGGTTTTTGTTTAGTCGTTGACATGACAAGCGTTTCCATGGCAACAGTTTTTCCATAACTGATTTCGGCTAAACTAAAGTGAACATTAAATGATCTATAACTTGGCAACTACGCATTTCCTCACTAAGAGATTTGGCTTTTTGTTTAGTCGTTGACATGACAATTGTTTCCATGGCAACAGTTTCTCCATAACTGATTTCACCAAAACTAAAGTGAACATTAAATTATCTATAACTTGGAAACTATGTATTTTCCCACCACGAGATTTGAGTTTTTGTTTAGTCGGTAACATGACAAGCGTGCATATGGCAACATTTTTTGCATAACTGATTTCAGCTAAATGAAATTAAACAAAAACCGCAATCATCTACAACTTGGCAACTACGCATTTCCTCACCATAAGATTAGGGTTTTTGTTTACTTATAGTGATCGCAATTGTTATCATGACAACAGTTTTTGCATAACAGATTTCGGCTAAACGAAAGTTTAGCCCTATTAGGTTTCTTGAATTAATTTAAGCCAGTGCAATATTTATATTTTATATAGTCTTTAAAAATACTGTAATATAAGTTTATAAAATCTTCATTGCTATATCAGTCTGACACTGTTTATCAGTACCTCTGGCATTTATAGATAGGGCATTTTTCCATAACTTTAAGGGATAACAAAAAAAAAACAATTATTCATATAAAATTGTACTAAAGTCAAGAAATTATCTTTGTTTAAGGGTCGATCTTTTTATCTCTGTAAGTTTACTTGACAGATTAACAAACAATAGTCCTATAGTTTAATCAGCAAGTAGTTACTTTCAACTTGGTGAAAAAAATGGCCCTTAAAATATATAATAAAATTGTGATACTTTTTTAAAACTTCCTTTGCCTTTTGTTGGAAACAAAAAATTTGCTCAATGCATAATTGGGTATATTCTGTAGATATTCTTGGGTATATTATGTAGACTCTGAAACAAAAAACAAAATAAACTCTAATTTGGAAATAAACATGAACTCAAATAGTATTATTTTTACTTATGACATTTTTCGGTAACAATCGTTGAATTGACACACATACTTCTGATTTATTGAAGTCGCAGTTTTATTTAAACTTAATTTTTAATACAATTCACAATTAAAATTATCTCATGTTGATTTTTAGAATTTGACAGCTTGATTGGAAACGTTGAGAAGATAGAATATGAAGTAGGGAGATACGAAATAAAGACTATTTTGTGATATGACAAGTGGAGGCACTTTGCGTCATATTTTGATTAATTTTAAGTTAATAATTTTATATTTGTAGATTGGCGGAATGAAATAGTACGAGTATATTACACACCGAGGTGGGAAGAGTTTCATTCCTGTCTCGAGATAGGAATGAAACTTCCTACTTATATTTTATTTACAACCATCATATTTCGATCAAAGTGAATAAATCTCTGTTTCGTTCTGAACATACCTAAAATATTACATTTAACGACAAATTACCAAGCGCGCGCGGTTTTCTCAGAATAATCAAGTAAATATATTGTTACTGTGATTACGGGGTAAACAACTGTCACCAATATAAACAAATGTCAGATAAAGCCGGATATTAAATTCGCGAATAATAAATATCAATAAGTAGTTTGTTGTATTTTGTTCATTGTTGTTTTTTATTCTTTGCCATTAAATAGGTATTATAAAATTTGTTAAAAAAATGTGTTATTTTTTTTAAATATAAAAAATATTCATCTAGAATAGATGAAATGAGGGCGGGAAGTGAGGGCGGGAAGTATAGGTGTGTAATGTGACACTTCCCAACCTTCAATGACTTTAGTAATGACAACATTACATATATGGTTGTAAATAAATGTTTTTACATCGTTTAAATCACCCTACTTTAAACAAATGGCATTTATTATCACCAAAACTGACCAGCTCGAATTTGACATATGTCGTAAAAGAGTAATGCAAAAGAGCGGATAGTTAGGTACCGTCATTGCTTTTCTATATCTATGATTTGAAAGATTGATATGCACCGCCCTACTTTGTGACGTCACGGTGTGCGTTGCGCAAATTAGGCTGATTTAAGTTACTTTACGATTGTTTCACTACGTTTCAGGGATCTTTTATTGTGCGACATCTCTTTTAGCTAAAGATTTTCAAGAACGTTTCTCACACCCGCAGGCTCACTGAAAACGCGATTAGCCAGAGCGCAGTAGCGTACCCAAAAATAGATATTAACACGTATGAAAACAATAAAATTATTAAAATTGAATTAATATTTTTATGTTATTTATTTTAAAATAATGTGTTTTTATGAAATGTAACTTGGTGTTCACTGCACAAATGAACCAATGGAGAAACCGCCCCTGGTGGAGATATAATATAATGCTTGGTATTCTATATTATATTCGTCACAGTTTAATAGACCCCCCATTTTCCAGAATCAATAGGTTTGATACCCTTATTTAGCTTAATTTTTTCAGAAGATTTTAATTTGATATCGTTTTTTTTTATTCTGAGTAAAGATTTGTTCAATATTTCAATCCCTCTTATCTCCCCATTTTTTTTTAAATCAATAGGTTTCATTCTCTTATAGAGCTTGATTTTTACTAAACTTTTCATGTTGATATCGCTTTTCATTTTTGATTTTCGATTTTTTTTTTTAATTTTAACCTTCCTTAAACTCAGATTAGTATGCAAATTTAGAAATAAAATATGTAATCTATTTACCTTTTTTTAAAGAGCAATATAAAACATACCGAATTTTATTGAAATACATGGTACATTTTAAACGAGATTAATATTTAGACTCTCCTGCAATGTGCAAAAATATTATTTTGAAAATTTACTTAATATAATTGAGAAAATGATTAAACTTTGAAAATGTATGTTCGCCCTTTAAGAACGAAAATCGTTCTGCCGAAATATACCAGGTGTTTAAATTGTAGTGTTACAGTTAAATACAGCCTTTTATAATAAAACGTTTCAGATGAAAGTCTTATAGTTTTTTGAGGAAAACATTTTGGCTAAAATCGGTTTTTATAGCTAGCCATAATATGGCCAATACTCAACAAGTAAAAGTCCAATAAAAAAAATGTTCCTTCAAAAGTTTCTCATTTTATTATGAACTTTAAGAATATGTAAAAAAATGGAGTTACAGTTTGAAAAACAAAGTCCATCTCGATATGGCCATATTATGGTCAGCTATCAAAAAATTAATTGAGCCAAAATGTTTCCCCCAAAAAACTATAAAACTTTCGTCTGAAACTTTTTTTTATAAAATGCATATATTCGGCGTTATTTAACTGTAACACTTTAATTTGAACACCCGGTATATTGTGTTAAAGTGTAAATAAAAATTACTTTGTGTTATTCTATAAAAAAAATGTATGTCTTCCTAAATGACTTCTGACAGTTGACCCATGGAGTACTAAGATATTTTAAAATAATGTTGATAAATCGTCAGAAGTGAACTGGATGGAATAAACTATAAAATACGAGTTATAATGATGGGAGCACCAGCACTCTCACTATCGCTAATATCTCCGTTATTCTTCCACCTAGCCTTCTGACGATTTGCAAGTAATATTATTTTGAATTACAGAATAAGAACACAAAGTGTACCTAGTGACATCATTGTTGCTAAATTTTTCGGAACATGAGCGCCTTCTGACGACTTTTTTTCTTCCACCTAGACTTCTGACAATTTTACTCTACTTTCTTGTACTATCTCCGATAATACTGCAAATTTTCAGAGCTGTACCTTATCACTTATTTTGCGAAAAAAAATTGCATGTTTAACCCCCTACCCTTAATTTATACTTCCAGTATAAAACAATCGAAACTGTAAATAACAAAATTTTGACTTTATCGAGTCACCCCTAATTTTGGGTCGCCAGTACTCCGTTTATTTGTTTTGATGGGCGTGTCTTGGAAAAAAATTTCTCCTTATCGTGTTAAATAATCAATGAAATAAACCTCAATTTTCATTTTAAGGTCATGGGCATGATCACTTTTGGACATCAGGAAATAACCTGCACGATTTTCAAGAATGGACTTGGTTGTCAACAGGAAATATATTTAGATATACCAACTGGTACCCAGGAGAACCAAATCTTGGTGCAAGTGGTTACGATTTGACGGAGAGATGCATGGAAGCCAGGACATTGGATAAAGGCGGTTTTACTTGGAATAATGTTCCTTGTGAAAGGCAATATTACTATATTTGTAAAAAAGGAAAAGATAATTGTGTATAATAAATACAATCACACTTTTTTCTTTAAGTTATATTAACTGTAATCTTTCTGTTACTATGTATAATTTTATTATTGTATACACTGACTTAATTTTCAAGTGAACGTGTATCAACATGAATTTTAATTCAAACCTGCGTATTTTAATTAGATGATTTCGCTATAAAATCGAATGATATAACCTCTAAAAAGTTTTATTTCATTATTATTAAAAGTCATTGATAATTGAAATAAAGTCATTACAATGAAATTTTCATTGCACGTCATCAATAATAACAATTGTTTATCAAATTGAACAGATCAATCGTTGCTGTCAGTCATATTTGTTGCTTTTCTTTTAATGACATATATAATTGAACTGTCAACAGTATTTTTTTTTTTTAATTTGGTGTCGTCGGCATCAACTACTAAGGCCATTAGCCTCGTGTTCTGTGTAGGCTTTGTTACTGTTTCCCAGTGCTACTTTAGGAAAAGCACTGTTAATTAGAACCCAACAGTGAATGGTCGAGTGGGGTATCCTACCAAGGCATCAGAATTAATTTTAAATAATTATATTAAATAAAAAAATCCTGGCCAACGATGGGATTCGAACCACAGGCAGAGACTCTACCACTGAGCCACCCACCCCTGTCAACAGTATTATTTTTGGGATTAATAAGCAAATTTATTTTTTAAATTTTTAAAATCCCTAAGCATTTAAATATCCGTGCGAAAATATTAGTGGGGTCTCTAATAAGATATTTTGAAAAACAATAAGATAATGGTGGCCCTTTCTTATCAATAAATGTAGTCAGAGAGCGTGTAGCAGGGGCATTGAATTTGAATATTTCGACGGTAAGCTCAATTTTACAGGCATTCAACAATAACCATATTTTAAAGTCTCCTCCATAAAGGCAACCACATGCTAAATTTTTATTTGTGACTACATTCGTGATATCATTTACTTAATGTATAAGAATAAACAACAAGTAACTCTTGCGATATTACATGAAACTTTAATGCAAAGAAAACTGTTTATGTAAAGATCATTATATACAGTGTTAATCAATATAGGATTATATATATTATAGTCTTATGGAACTACCTTATGTTGCCAGTAAAAGATTTAGTTTTTTAAAGTTATATACAAGAACAAAAAATCTGTCTCTATATAAATTTACTTATCTGAGTAAAACATGTATTTTTCAAAATGGCACAGTAGACCGCTTTTGGAAAAATAACGATAAAAAGAGCGCAAAAACTACAAGAGTTTATGGAAAAAGATTCGTTGTCAACGAAAATGGTTATATTGATAGGGGCTGGTGTTTTCATTAAATAGTAACAATCCTGACTATCATGGGGAAATGAATAAAGCAAATGGTTCGAGAATCAATTACCTATGAATTTAACCCTTTGCGGAATAATCGTCCCACTGTGAAACCACCTTCTTAAACATTTTTAGCTTGCTTCCTAGTCGTGATTTACGCAAACCACCGACAAAAATGAGTCACAACTGAACAGGCTTCAACAAGAAATTCGCGAAGTATGTTTAAGTTAGCTTTTAGTCGCTCATGTGTGTGCATATAGAGTGGCGTTTTTGGCGATTTTGTTTACACGCCTTTTAATTTTTTTTGTGTTGAAATCCTTTTAAAAAATCAGGTAAGATGTCAATAGTTTATTAGTTTTTAATACATATTTACTGATTTTTCAAGAAAATGTCCATTTCTATTTGAAATTCTAATACTTTTTTTATATTTTGATTGGTGATTTCGTATGAAAACACTAGGGCTACTAGGGCTAAAGAAACACTTTGTTTCAGATATTCAAAATGAGTCGAAAATTGAAGTTCAATATAATAAATAACGACCAAGTTTATGCTTTATTAGATGATATTCCTTCAGAAGGTTCTGACGCATCTGATGTTGAATTTTGTGATAATGATGTAGATTGGTTGGAAGAAGATGGAGATTTGGAAGACTTGGAAGAGGAAGATAGTGTAGAAGAGGAAGATGGTATAAAAGAGCAAGATCGTATAGAAGAAGAAGATCGTATAGAAGAGAAACAAGAACGAAGTGAACAGAGAGACCCGAAAAAAAAGAAACGAAAATTGAAACAATAGAGATAAAGTGGGGTCAGAGTATTGAAAGAGTAACAAAGAAATTGCCTTTTCAACAAACCATTGGTCCAACAGTACCAGCAGAGTTGGAGACTCCCGCAGATTTTTTACATTTATTTCCATAGAAGCTGAAAAATTGAATTCGAGACTAACTTGTATGTTGTCCAGAAAAAAATAATATAAAAAAACCAACAACGGTAAATGAACTGAAGTGCTTTCTAGGAATAAATATGATGATGAGAATAAAAAAACTGTCAAGTTACAAAGATTACTGGTCCTCAAGAATAGAGCTACGTGATACTTTTGTTTCATCCTGTATAGGCCGCGACCGATTCTCGTGGCTTATTTCAAACCTTGACATCAACGACAATTCCTTAGAGCCTAAAAAAGGTAGTCAAATATATACTGGAAAAGATGATAATCTAAAGACAGAAAAGGACTTAGGTAAAAGAGTTGTGAGAGATCTGACAAGAGATTTGGTAGGAAAGCACCATCAAGTCTATTTTGATAATAACAGTGTATGTAATCCTACAAATTGATCTGCTGCAAGATCAGATATACGCGTGTGAAACAGCAAGAAGTGGCAGAAAACATATTCCCCAGTCCTTCACCAAACAAAAAAAAGATGATCAGAGGAGAGTCTGATTGGAGAATAAATGATAATGGGATAGTAGCTGATCAGTGGATAGAAAACAAGCCAATTGTATTTTTAAGTAATTTTCATGACCCAACTGATGATGATACCGTAAATAGAACACAAAAAGCTGGCAGTTCAAAAGAAATCAGTTGTATAAAATTAGTAAAAGATTACAACATACATCTGGGTTATGTTGATAAATCTGATATGCTAAAAAAATGCTATGAGCTTAATCGGAAGTGAAAAAAATGGTGGCACCGTATTTTTTGGCATTTCGTTGATTTGACAGTAGTCAATGCTTATCTTATTTATAAAGAAAATATTGATGTTACTGTCATGCTACTGAAGGAGTTTAAATTGTCAGTAGTAACATGTTTGATCGGAGCTAACCTCAATTCCTAAATGTGTCGGAGACAAGAATAAGTCAAACTGCAGAAAATCCATTTAAAGTACATGTACCAATAGAAATAAGAACAGATAAAGCTGCTCATTTGCCAAAATATGGCACTAGCGTTCGATGTGCCAACTGTAGTACCAAGTTAGAACCTCATCGTACCAAATGGCACTATACCACTTGTACAGTTGGGCTATGCTTATCGGACAAAAGAAACTCTTATCAAATATATCATAGCAAGTAGTTGCGCTAGTTGCGCCCTAGTGGTTAAACTGTTGAACCACCACTTTTTTTAAATGTTTGTAAAAAAATAAATTAAGGAAGTGCTTTCGCCACCAATATTAAATAAAAAATATTAGATTATGACTAAAATTAATTTTTTCTAATAGTAGAAGTCCTTATTTATCTAATAGTGAACTTTTAACTATACCTTACCGTGCAAATTTTTGAGAATTTTTTTTTAAATGTGTGTGTTTGTACAGTGTCTTACGAGAAAGTAAGACTTCAACAACAATTTTCGAATTATAATTCATTTTACTATTATTTATTGATTAGATGGAGTAGAAAAAAACTAAAAATAAGGTTTTTGAAATATTTAGGTTTTGTTTTTTACAATAAAATATATAGGTTACCGTGGAATTTATTGAGAACCTCCAAAAACCAGAAAAACGCTGAGCTCCCTTCTACCATTTACTGCGCATATGACCTTGCTGACTTTATCTATATCTTACATAATTCGAAATGATAGATTTCATATTAGAATCTCAAATTGTTCTAACTTTAAACTCTTACTAACTGATTGCGTGTGGGAATTTGTAAAGGACAAGTCTGATTTGCAAGTTGCCAGTTCTATAATTTTAGTGTATTTTTGGATATCTCACTCGTTCTTTGTAGTGTCTAGTGTCATTTTAATTTTAGTTTTATTAATAATAGAGTTATGTAGGTCAAATTTATACAATTTTAAAAATAAAAAGATAATCCTACCCATTACTACTGAATAGCCAGATCCATAATAATGAAAATCTTAGTATATTGACATATTTTAATGGCAGCTACAAATATTATCATTTTTAACTATTATATTCTTTAATAACCCTAATTAAAAGACTTTATTATATTGTTACCCTGCACCCTGCAGTAGCCTGCGACTGTTATAGGAAACATAGGAATACAAAAAGAAGTGAAATGTCACCCATCACCCGGCTGCGTTCTGCGGAGGTCATAAGTAAAAGTACAAGTAAAAGAAGATAGAATAGTCCAGAAATGTCTAGAAATATCATTCCACGTCAAGAAAAAATCTGGACAGTTCGAGAAGGTTAAAGCAAGCTATAAAGTCGGTGATCCTAATGCCAGAGGGCAGTTTTATAATAGACGTTATACGTTAATTAAATTATTGTAAAAGTTAAGTTGAAATAAATTGAGTTGCCAAAAACCAGCATAACAGTGGTGGCAGCGGGAGGATACAAAATAGAAGTTCCTGGTAAATACTAGATCCACTAAATACGAAACAGGCATGGATTCTTCGGGTCCCCAGCATGGTTTTTGAAGATGGAGGAGAAAACGGAAAGGCGAAAAGAGGAGAAGGAAAGACGCAAAAAGGACAAAGAGAGGGAAAGAGAAAGACACAGGAAGGAAGAAGAAAAGGAGAAGGAAAGACGCAGGAAGGATGAAGAGGAGGAAAAGAAACGACGCCGGAAGGAAGAAGAGGAAGAGAAGGAAAGACGCAGGAAGAACAAAAAGGAGGAAAAGGAAAGACGAAGGAAGAAGAATAGGAAAAGAAAAGACGTAGGAAGGAAGAAAGGAAGGGAAAGGAAAGCCGCAGGAAAGACGAAAAAAAAAAGAGAAATAAGAGATGCGTAAAAAACTGATGTAAAAATTATAACCTCATTTTCTATACTGTAAACTTTAGTTAAATCATGGACAGAGTGCCCTT